GTTCTCTTCTGTGTGATTCATTTGTTCACTCAGCAGTTAATCTGTATGCACCAAATGCCCACACACGGGCTCTGTACAGCAATACAAAGACACTCAAGGTGGCTCTTTTCTCAAGAGCCCCAGTCTGGCCAGGATCACGAACTTGTGAAAATAAAAATAGCAAGTACATACTTAGCACTTCCTGTAGGCCAGGTACTGTTGTGAATCCTCTGTATGTATGAACTCACTTAATCCTCACCACAGTCCTGTAAAGTAGGTACTATTATCATCCGCATTTTACCGATGAGGCAACTTAGGCACAGAGGGCTCAAGTGACAACATACCCACGGTCACACAGCTGGTAAGTGCGGGAGCTCGAGTTCTAACCCAGACCATCTGACTCCGGATGTTACCACCACTCCCTATTGCCTCTTGTAAACAAACATGGGCAGTAGAAGGAGGTCAGTGGTGTTAATAGAGCATAAACTAGATGGCCTTCTATTATTTACACAAGCAAACAGAAAAATGAGAGACATGGAATAGAAAAGCGACCCCCAAAACCTCCCCCCGACAACACACACCCCCTACCTAACACTGTTCGGACATTTCTCCTGCTGGCTCCTCTGAGTCTTCACACTACAAAACCAGCCTCTTTGCTTCTGTTCTCTTCTCCAGAGAGACAAAGAAGGTGGAAGAAACAGATTTCCATGCCGTCTGTGGACAGAAGACGAGCCCACCAGGTTTCTTTGACAGAGGCGAGGTGGGCTTCTGTCTCCCCCCAGCAGGGCAGTGCTGGGCGGTGAGTGGGAGCCCGTGGGTCGCTGCTTCTCTGGGGTGACATAATGACAGAACAGTGACTGGCTTCGCCTTGCTTAGTAGCTGCTGCAAAGGAGGGTCAGGGAATACTCTGAGGGTCACTGGAGTTGACTGGTCTGGCTGCTGCCTTCTCTCCCTCGTGAAGTTGTTGAAACATAGCTTCGGCTTAAGGGCCGTAAGCTGGAAAGAGGAACCACTGACTGAAGCCTGCTGCTCTCTGATTGGGCGCCCTCACAGGGCCACTCCCAACCTTTAGCGGGTGCCTGCTGTGTGTAAGGCCCATGCGGGTGCCCCATGCGGAGGACGCAGGAAAGAATGAGACCCAGATCAGTCCTCCTTTCTCATAGCCATAGCTTTCACCTCTTTTTTTTTTTTTTTTTGCGGTACGCGGGCCTCTCACTGTTGTGGCCTCTCCCGTTGCGGAGCACAGGCTCCGGACGCGCAGGCTCAGCGGCCATGGCTCACGGGCCCAGCCGCTCCGCGACATGTGGGGTCCTCCCGGACCGGGGCACGAACCCGTGTGCCCTGCATCGGCAGGCGGACTCTCAACCACTGCGTCACCAGGGAAGCCCTCACCTCCTTTTGATCGTGGCCGAAAGCAAGAAATTCATTTAAATCACAAGTGTGTATGTGTGTGTGACTCAGTTTTCGGTTTCACGTTGCTAGCCTGTTCTGCTTTTCTTCGTTAAGAAGTGCTGATTACAACCCATTGACCTGAGATCTTGATCCACTGATGTGCAGTGGATGAAGCCGTTCAGTTAGAACATGCTAGTCTGGAGAAAGGCACCTAACACTGTACAATGATAAAGCAAGGCATAAGTGCAGTCACAGAAGTGCGCACAAAAGGTACAGAGCCCTGACGAGACACTGGGGCCTGGAAAACCCTCTCCTATGTTTTTCCTATCACCGTCATGGGGACCCCCAGTATACTCTGCGGTAATGTCTGCTGGTCTCTTTCCCAGAACATTTCCTGCCGGCTTCTCACCCCCCCGCGTAGGCTACAGATACTGCCTCTGGTGACTGAGCCAAAGTCATCTGTGAAACCACCTGTGAGTCCACGGACAGGATAGGGACAGATGAGCAGCTCAGCTCCCTTTCCAGCTCTACAGCTCTCCCATTTGGGCGACAGCACCCCAAGCACAGAAGGAGTCCACGTGGACACCTTTATTTCATCAGGCTCTGTCTGTTTGTTCCCTTCAGGCACAGCATCAGTGGGTCTTGAGTGAGAAGGGGGGGAAGCAGGTCCCAGAGGCAAAGAGCAGGGCAGCAAGTGGCAGGAAAGCAACGGCTGTTGGCTGCTGATACAGAATGAAGATGCAGTGTGTGGAAGCAGGTCACACCACTGCGCAAATTTCTTCTCCTGGGGCTGTACTGCCAGTGAGTCCCGGGACCAAGTCCCAGAGAAGCAGACAGGGTAACAGCAGATGACCCCAGGAGAGCTCCCTCACATGTCTTGATGACCAGTCCGGGCGTGGAGTTGACTGAGGAGCTGCACAGATACTGGAGAGGGAAAGCATCTGTGCTAATGAGTCATCAGGAAGAAAAGAATTAATGACACCTGGATATTTAACTTCCAAGAAAATACCTGGCAGCATCCTGGCGCCAAGAAATGTGGTTAAGAGCGCGGGCTTTGGAATAAGACTGACCTGGGAACAAATCCTGTTGTCCCATTTCCTGTGTGCTGTTTGGAAAACACCTGAGAACGGAGGGGAGGATGACCCAATTTTGGCCTTCTGGAAGTTCACATCTACTGCTTAAGCTTTCCGAGCCTCAGTTTCCCCACGGGTAAAGCAGGGATAATGAAAGGGTTGTTGTGAGGTCTGAATATGAGAATGGCTGATTCCCTGGTACAGCTGACCACAGGTTAGCTGTTTGACTTTGGTAGTGAAAAGCATCAGAGAACAGGACCAGGGGCACTGGTGAATGGCCGTGGCCATGAGAGCTCCATCTCTTCTATCCACATCCTCTTCTTTCCACTGGCCTTAAACCAACGCAGAAGACACCCTCTAACTGACGGCGTCGCCCCCCCATCTCAAAGATGGAGGTCTTTGAGAAGCCACTGTTAGGTCCTCAAAGCCCTACAGTTCCTTTTCCCGTTTATCCCAATTTTGTTTAAACTTTGAACACATGGGCCAGAGGTAACTTTCCTTGCCAAGTTCTGTGGAATGACGGGAAGGGCCGGCCACAGAGGCCCATGTAGAAATGGAGCAAAATGATTCTCCCTTGGGCTGCTGGGGTGAGGAGCGCTACTGGGCCAGCCCACCAAGACTCTCCCACCCCCTGCAGAGAGATGAGAGCCCCTGGCTACTGAGAGCAGAGGCCCGACAGCTGCGGGCCGGCCGAGGAGTGGATGCTGACAGCTGCTGGAAGAACACACATTCCTTTTTCTTAAATCCATTATATGGAAACCTCTCTTTGAGATCAGTCTCCAGGGGCGGGGGCATCTCTTCATGAGCTCTAATTCCAAGGATTTGAATGGAGAGAAACACAGCAGGCCAGTGCTGGCCCAGGACGGTTCTAAACATCCTCTCAGGCAAAGCTCCCCTTAGGACAGCGAAGCTTCCGACCGCAGGAAGAGCTGCAGAAAACACTCCGTATAGTTTAAAAGGGTAATTTAAAAATGTGATGTCTCACGGTTCATGAAACAGTGACGGAAAACGCAAGTGGACAGTCCTCCTACAACAGACGGTCTATGCTGGCCTCCAGAGAGTTGCAAAGTCCGTTAGCACATTAAAGGCACTGTGAAATCTGACAGCAAAGAATTTCCGGTTAATTTTCTGTTTATCCCATGGGTTCCCAAACATATTCGGTCACAGAACCCTTTTGCCAGGACACAGTTCTTTCCGCAGAACATCACTGGCCTAAGAGCGAGTTAAGGCCTCCTCTCACTGACACCGTGCCTCCTTTTGCAAATTAGAAACTCCTGCAGCAAGCAGAGTGCAGACAGGTTCGAGCCTCCACGTGCGCCCTTGGCCTGACCGTGGACGCAGCAGCCTGACTGGGAAAGGACAAGATGAGCCGTCCTCAGACTTGACAGATCAGGGCAGGAAAGTCCACTCTTGTTATTTTAGTCTCTCTCCAAGGTTAAGTCCAAGCTCATGAAGGAAGGAATAGGCTGCTCGGCTGGAGAAGGTCAGAGACCACCTCTAGCCTGGAAGCTTCTGTACAAACTAGCCACCACGAAGGGCTGCTGGACAGCCCTGGGCTTACATTTAACATGGGGGTCCATGGGAGAACACTTTTGAGAAGCTGAACTGTGCTGCATTATTTAAAAAAAAAAAAAAAAAACAGAGGGAAAATGCACCAGCCGCACGTTGCATCAGAAGCTGATGATAACTGGGACCATCGGGAAGGAGACTGGGTGTCCATTCCAGACGTTTACTGCTTGGTTTAGAGTCTGACTGGCTTCCGTCCTCCGGCTTTTGGAGTGGACCAGTTTTCCTGGCACATGCATTTATTGAACTCCGAAAGGCCAGATCTTCTATGCAGATTAATTCATGATTTCAAAGATGCTTTGAAGCTGGCAAAACATTCTGTTATTTCCAAGAGTTATTACAACTGAAATCCTGGCATAGAAGAGGAGGTCAGCCTGTAATCTCGTTTAGATCTTTTTAAATTTAGAAACTTTATAGTGGGTTAAAAATAGATCACATTTGTGTACTTTTCCTCCTTTCCTCTCCACTGCAAAGGCTGTTCAGTAATTTTGACCTACCCTTAATACTAGCCAGGGAAATTCTCATGCTTGTCACCCAGGAGTCTGCTAAGCCAAAATAAAAGTCATTTTCAAATGGATTTTGGGGTGATGCTCGTTATACAACTGAGCAGAGTTACTCATTATCCCACATAATAAGTTCTAGAATTAAGAGCACCGGGCTACCACTAAGATCTGTGAATGGTATGTGGATTCCTGTTAAGGGAAAATGTGGGCCACGAGGGAAGTTTTCAATAGTGCTACCCTGGAGGGCTTGTGTCCTTACCTATTGATCAGAAAAGATCATAATGCTTAGGTCAAGAGAAGCTGTATGAGGCTGGAAGGTCAGGCTGCTTATAACCGAAAGTTAAATGTAGACTGCACCCGATTTCAGAAGGGCCAAATACTGGACGTTCTCCTTTGTGGTACTCGCCAGGGTTAAGGGGGTGCCAGCATTTTCAAGCCCAGCAAAGATAGCATTACACTCAGGATTACCTCGTCATGGTTACTTTACCTTCATGAACATGCTAAATCCAGTTTTAAGGAGATCAGTGAGGCCTGAGGACATGTGTTCAATGTCAACGGGATCTGGCCTCTCGGGATTAAATATTTCCTCCACAACCTGCTTCAACAATGGCTTATAGGATGCCTGGAAAGACAAAACATCGTGCTGTAAGTAAAAGGGTTTGTTTGATTTGCCTAGAGAGAGGGTAGCTTTCTCTGCACCAAACGAAGCAAAACCAGTTTATTCTGATACTGAGCAATGGCTGTGATTCTCTGTGTGTGAAAAGACAATATGACAACATTGATTTGGGGGGGGGGATTTTTATCCCACTACACTAGCACTATTTTTTATTCGTCACACTCCCTTCCACGAGCAAACGCCTCTCACCAGAGCTATAATCCTAGTATGGCTAATTTTTCAGTCTAGATTTCAAGTGACAATTTTTTGCATGAAGTATACTGAAAAGCAAAGTATTGTCAGCTGATATGGACAGGAAGACAATCTCCTAAACATTCTTAGAATTATACTCCCTTCTGCTAGGATCCCGAATGTTTTCTTACAATGTATTGTCACTATCCAAGTCCAAAGCAATCCCTCCGTCTTTTAGAGGGGTCAACTCCAAGTACAAACTGGCCAGAAAAAGCAGCCAAGATGCCCAAAGAAATCAGACCAAGGTCAGGGCTTAGAGAAAGCAAGCCACGCGGACTATGAGAACTTCAGTAGAATTAAGCTGATGTGAATTTACAGCAACTACAGTTTGGTAAATGGTGCTAAATCTATCCACATTTAGGTAGTATTTGGAGGCAGCTGCCTCTGACCAATGTTGATGCTAAGCATGTTCCCCCACCTGTTTCCCTGGGTCTCCTCACTACCAAGCTTTTCCTCTCTCCTTCCCTTCGCATCGGCTGGACCACCTTCCTCCCAGTCTTTTTGCTACCTCTGCTGCTCCAGATACGTTCGGCAGCCCATTTTGAGCATGAAGGGTGAAGGAAGGGGAATGCCTTCCCTCAAAGCACTCTGCTATATCTATTACAGGCTCAGGAAAGCCAGGCTATGACAGCACTGTAGAGATGTCATGAACTGTTTCTGTCTTTGCACTGGCCAAATCTGTAACCGGCCTCTAGCCAGTGTTGAGGATATTTGGTATGTTAACTTCACCTCTGGCTTCATCTTGCTTTTCGTAGTCATTTTTTACTCCTATTTCCCCCTCATTCCAACTTTCTTACTTGAAATACCTTAGAAATAAAGCAGGGTATAAACCATCAAAATCATAAACAGCCGTTTAGCTAGAAGGTAACTGGTGCATTTATCAAGAATAAGATGCAGGGGGGCTTCCCTGGTGGCGCAGTGGTTGAGAGTCCGCCTGCCAATG